CAGCTACAACATACTAAAATTTGTGAGAAAACTGTTGAATAACAACCGAGATACTGGTCAAAACACCTTGTCATGCAGATTCATGTTTTGAAAAAAGTGACCTCCCATAGACATAACACGCAAATATGACAAATTATGCATTGTCGCCTTTAATCGAATATTTCACTATGATGACGTCATCTAAATGATATTATATGACAAATTTCTAATAGAAAATTATCTCAGCTACAACATATCAAAATCTGGAAGAAGATTGATCACCGATAAGTGAGATAATCTCAATTAAACAAAGACAAAAATGACGTCATCAACGAAATACATTTGTTTGAGTTTAGATGCCAATATGATGACTTTGTTTCACTTTGTACGAGTCAGGGTGGTATGAAATCATATCTCCAACTCATGCTTTCTCCAACCATGATATAAAAATTGGGGGTCAACGGACTATCTGAAGAGCTATTTCGATTTTTAAAATGGCATGTTTTTTATCAAATTTGCATTATATTGCCCATAGCAGTACGCGCGGATTTTGAACTTTGACGCACGCTCACGGCGTTATGAAATATGAAGAGTGACTGAAATTAATGTAAATTGTCAATTACGTTAAGAGGAATCCAAATCATGTAAACATTTTTGAATTTGACCTTTTCCGCGCGCGGGGACACGTACGGACGGAAAATTTTGAAATGCTTAAAATGACCTGATTCGTACTCTACTTTAGTAGTTTAGTGATTTTGAGCTTTTTAAAATTTTGACGCACGCGTACGCGCGCGTCATGACCTTTGTGTGACCTTTGATGACATGACCTGTTGACCCTTGACCTAAAGTATATGTGATATGAATATGAATGACCTTTGCTGATGCATCATGAAGATATGATGGATAACGTGATTTCACAAAATGGCGCCTGGATGACGTCACGATAACCTAATGACCTTGAAAATGTTCCTGTCATGTCTTATGACAATGACCTATAACTGTGCCGAAATTTAATGAAATTAATTAAACCAAACTTGAGTTATCCGGACCACAAAAAACGGGAAGAAATAAAAATAAATAATAATAAATAAAGAAAGATAATTTGAACAAAAACAATAGGTTATCTGTCGAACGACAGACCACCTAATAACTAGAAATTTAATTCGTCACGAAGACGAATAAGGTGGTCTGTCTAAGTCTTATGATAGAATTGAGAATGGGAGAAGTTATATAGACATGTAAACAATGATGATCATGATGACCATGATGATGATCATGATAGTAAAGGTGATGATGATGATAATGATAATGTTATATGATGAAAAAACGATAATGTTAATGATGATGATGAGCATAAGCATGATCCTGACATCTGATTGAAAAAATGAGGAAATATTTAGATAGCAAATAGTCTCAGCTACAACATACTAAAATTGGGAGAAAACTGTTGAATAACAACCGAGATACTGGTCAAAACACCTTGTCATGCAGATTCATGTTTTGAAAAAAAGTGACCTCCCATAGACATAACACGCAAATATGACAAATTATGCATTGTCGCCTTTAATGGAATATTTAACTATGATGACGTCATCCAAATGAAAAATGAATAGCATATTTCTGATAGAGAATTATCTCAGCTACAACATATCAAAATCTGGGAGAAGATCGATGACCGATAAGTGAGATAATCTCAATTAAACAAAGACAAAAATGACGTCATCAACAAAATACATTTTGTTGAGTTTAGATGTCAATATGTTGACTTTGTTTCACTTTGTACGAGTCAGGGTGGTATGAAATCATATCTCCAACTCATGCTTTCTCCAACCATGATATAAAAATTGGGGGTCGATGGACTATCTGAAGAGCTATTTTGATTTTTAAAATGGCATGTTTTTGATCAAATTTGCATTATATTGCCTATAGCAGCACGCGCGGATTTTGAACTTTGACGCACGCTCACGGCCTTATGAAATATGAAGAGTGACTGAAATTAATGTAAGTTGTCAATTACGTTAAGAGGAATCCAAATCATGTAAACATTTTGAATTTGACCTTTTCCATGCGCTGTGAGCCCGCGCAACGCGCGCGGGGACACTTACGGACGGAAAATTTTGAAATGCTTAAAATGACCTGATTCGTACTCTCCTTTAATAGTTAGGTGATTTTGACCATTCTAAAATTTTGACGCACGCGTACGCGCGCGTCATGACCTTTATGTGACCTTTGATGACATGACCTGTTGACCCTTGACCTGAAGTATATGTGATATTACTATGAATGATCTTTGCTCATGCATCATGAAGATATGATGGATAACGTGATTTCACAAAATGGCGCCTGGATGACGTCACGATGACCTGATGACCTTGAAAATGTTCCTGTCACGTCTCATGACAATGACCTATGACTGTGTCGAAATTGAAAGAAATTAACACAACCGATCTTGAGTTAACCGATAAACAAAAAACGGGAAGAAATAAAAATAAATAATAATAAATAAAGAAAATTCTGACGAAATCAATAGGTGGTCTGTTGACAACAGACCACCTAATAATAATAATAAATAAAGAAAGAAAATTCTGACGAAAACAATAGGTGGTCTGTCGAAGACAGACCACCTAATAATAATAAAGAAAATCCTTCAAAGTTCTAGAAAATGTGCTATTTCAACTTTCAATTGAAAATTCCGACATGATCCCAACATCTGATCAAAAAACAAAGTACACCGGTTTTGTAGCCCATGGTCTCAGCTATAACATACCAAAAGTTGGGATAAAATAGATCACGAACAAGCGAGATAGTGCTCAAAGATGAGTGTCATGTAGATTCACGATGTGAACGAAATTCACCTTCCATAGACAATACACGCAAATGAAGAAAATTCTGACATGTCGCCTTTAATTGAAATTTTCACCATGATGACGTCATCAAAATAAAAAACAATGGGCACTGATCTTGTAGAGAATTGTCTCAGCTACAACATATCTAAGTTTGGAAGTAAATCAATCAATATTTACAGAGATACAATCAATTTGCCATACATATGATGACGTCATAATATGCAAATTCGTTTTTTGAGTTCCAAGGCCATTATGATGATGTCACGATATATATAATGGCCAAATGAGACCTAAAATCATATCTCCAACTCATATTCTATCCAAATATGAGAAAAAATTGGGGGTTTTGTGGACTTCCTAAAGAGCTATAATGGAGTTTGTATAGGCATGTTTTTGCCCATATATGCTATGTATTACAAGATCACGCGCGTACGGACATGTATTTTAAACGGACGCTAATTCCGTCAATAATGGTCATGGAAAGCTAAACATGGTATCAAATTGTTCGGAAAAAGATAAGGAATACCCTCGTCAAAAAGACGTACTAGAAAATTATTCTTCGTTTGGCCGCTACGAACGAAAACGCGCAAAAATGCGTGTTTTGCGTGATTTTTATGAAATGCTTAAAATGGCCTGAAACGTATCCAAAATGAATTTGAGGCGATTTGGAGCATTTTGAAATTTGCGCGCGCACTGACGCGCGGACGTACGCGCACGCGCGCTTTTTTTTACCTGAAATTGACCGGACTGATATTGACCTTGATCATGGTAAATATGAATGAGAAATGATTTTCAGTTATGAAGTTATGATCATTTGAAATTTTCCAAAAAAAACACAAAATGGCGCCTGGATGACGTCATGAAGACTTGATGACCTTGAAAAGGTTCCTGTCACGTCTTATGGCAATGACCTATGACTGTGCCAAAATTGAAAGAAATTGGACGGTTCAATTTTGAGTTATCGTGCACACAAAAAAGTGGAAGAAATAAAAATAAAGAAATAAAGAAAGAAAATTCTGACGAAAACAATAGGTAGTCTGTCGAAGACAGACCACCTAATAAAGAAAGAAAATTCTGACGAAAACAATAGGTGGTCTGTTGATAACAGACCACCTAATAATAATAATAATAAATAAAGAAAGAAAATTCTGACGAAAACAATAGGTGGTCTGTTGATAACAGACCACCTAATAAATAAATAAATAAAGAAGAAAGAAAATTCTGACGAAAACAATAGGTGATCTGTCGTTGACAGACCACCTAAGTTGACAGACCACCTAATACAGAATAATAATAATAAAGAAAATTCTGACGAAAACAATAGGTGGTCTGTTGACAACAGACCACCTAATAAATAAAGAAAGAAAATTCTGACGAAATCAATAGGTGATCTGTCTACAACAGACCACCTAATAATAAAGAAATAAATAAAGAAAGAAAATTCTGACGAAAACAATAGGTGGTCTGTTGACAACAGACCACCTAAATAATAATATTTAATTTTTATATAGCGCTTAATACAAATGTCTCTAAGGGCTTTACAAATATACTATTACCCCGGTCATTGGATTCAGTGCTTGCGCGCACACACTGTGTGCACAATCTCCACTCCCTGGGGAGCATTCCAGTCGGGCGTTACTTGACGCTCACAAGCTGTTTGACCAACGTGATGATACAAATTTTGACGGGAAACCGCCTACTAATTGATATATTTGGTAAATTAATATATATATTGGGACCAAATAGATATCGTGCACGTAGTCGCATAGTCCCATATACATCTTTCTGTGTACAGTGCTTGTAACTTTACCAAGACTGGGCCAAATTTCTTATAATTTTGATGATTCCAGAACCTAGCAGTACAGACCAATACTTATATGCTAGATGTTCAACCTTTTCTGATCGATTTCAAAACGTTTCTTTCACTATGCACTCGCATGACCAGAACTGGTCTTTATCTTTAAAGAATACATACGCTTATTATAGGATTAGTGTCTACAAAAACTGATGCTTCTGTTGTCAACTTTTACCAGTAATTGTAATGTACTTGGTAGGTCAGCATAATCAACTTATCTACTCCGCTCTAAACAAAATTAAATTCCGTCATACTATTAAAGTACCTTGACTCTGTTTCTCTTTGCCCCAGGAAACTTCGTCACTTACAGCCTATTAAGATCTTAATGTGCCTCTGCATCACCCTCCTCTTCCTGTACATCTTCTTCATCATCATGACAGTACTCGACCGATATGCTGGAGAACCCGAGGTCGGTCCAGGTCTGTGTGGAGTCATCGCCGCCGGCCTCCACTTCACCACGCTCTCATCGATGTCATGGATGGGCGTTGAAGGGATAAACATGTTCCTAATGGTTGTCCGTGCCATGGACTCGTCTATCCCACTCTTCATGATGAAAGCCTCTATTATTGCATGGGGTACATTGCTGTTATAACTTGTTTGACCAAAACACTCGAGGACTATTGTCATGCAACTAAGTTTAAGGGCTTTGCACCATACTAGCATTGCTTCTTTAGCACGCCCCTCTTTGTCTATGTATACATTCAGGTCAACAATGTTCTGTAATCATCTTCAGTTCTTAGTTATTTCTATTTTATCTATCATTCAGTTCTGTTACATGTTTGTCTCCAATTATTTAATTTCTATGTACTTTGTACATGCTTATCATGTTCATATTGAAAGGGAAATCAATTAGTCAAACCTTGCTAAACTTTGATCATAGTAGGCCTATATTGTACATCTTTGGTCTATTTGCAATTCTTTGCTTATTGGAACATCATTCCTCCTTCATTTTCTTGTTCTCCTCTTTTTTCTTTCCTCTCCTTATTTTTCTTTAGAGAGTATTAATTAAACATGTGATATCAATGTATTTGTTTTTATAGGAATACCTGCTGCGATAGTGTTCCTTACTGGTGCTATCTCGAGACAGAATTATTCCTACTCCGACTAGTAAGTACTCCCTACATTATATTCACTCTATCCAACAAACATTCATAATCAAGGATGATCAAATTATCATTCTTCGTTGAACATGTTAAAAGTCACCGGAAGAATATTGTCCGATTTTGGTTACTTCGCATCCCTGTGGTTGATTCTGATATGTGCAAGACGAACATCTATTGTTTGATTGCTGCATCCCTTTTCATGCATGCACATTACCATAATTTATATTAGCTTTTTGTCTATCTGTATATTAGGATTAATTTTTCCTTTTCAATTATACAGCTGTTTTCTTCAGAAATGGCCTCTCGTAGGCGGTCTGCTCATCCCAATGGCCTTCACTCTTGCTCTTAACCTGATCATCTTCGCTCTCGTTATGCGTCGTCTCATGCGCATCAACTCGAGTGGCGGAAAAACTAGCGAGTTAAAATCAGAAACCCGCCTCGAGATCATGCGCCGTCTCACAAACGGAATCGGCATCCTCCTCCTACTTGGTTTGACCTGGCTCGTTGGATACTTCACCGTCATCGAACAAATCAATCTCGCAGTCCACGTCATTTTCATCCTACTCAACTCTCTCCAAGGATTCTTCATCTTTGTTTTCTACGTTCTCCGACAACCGAAAAGCCATGCGTGCTTGCGGGAACACCTGGGTTGCTGTTTCCACGATTCACCCTTGACGACAGATGCAGGCCCGATGAGTATGAAACAGACGACGATGACAATAACAGAAAATCCGATTAGCGAGTCTGTGTTGAGCAAATCTGATATCGATGAACATATCAGTGAAATTTGAGTAATACCTGAATTACTAATACTTCCTTTCAACGTTCAATTTTGGTATAGGCCCACTCTTTTGTAAAACTCTGAGTCTATTCTACAATAGTCACTCTGCTTTAAACAGTTAAACTGTAAGTGGTATTTAAATGAAGAGCTTGATTCCAAAAGGAGCTAAATCCATATTTTATCAAAACTGAGTTTTTTGTCTTAAAATAATGGTTTCCTACATGGGAACAAAATGCACTATATCACATTCTAAAATTTCACCAGGAAGTATAATTTTTTTTAGTTACAATATCATGTTTCATTCCAAAAGGAGCTAAATCCAAATTGGTTTCATTCCAAAAGGAGCTAAATCCACTTTGGGTAAATCAACTTTTTTTGTTTCTCCACTTTCCCTTCACCCATATCCCTTCATGTTGTTATTTATGTTAAAGGTGTCGCCCTGGACCAATACTATATGATAAGACAAATATCTACCAGTTATTTCTGATTTTTACTAAATTATTAAAATTTATGGATTTAGCTCCTTTTGGAATGAAACATGGATTTAGCTCCTTTTGGAATGAAACGGATTTAGCTCCTTTTGGAATGAAACTGTGATATGTTGTTTACTTTCTTTTTAAAAGGTATTTTTAGATGTGATTTCACTGTTATTATTTAAAAGGAAAGGTTTGCTACTAAATTTAAATACTTTTCAGTGACTTTAGTGAGAAAATATTCACAAATTTCACAAATTTTAGGTACAATATTATGTTTCATTCCAAAAGGAGCTAAATCCGCGAAAAATAAAAATCTAAAAATTAATTAAAAATCAGAAATAACTTCTAGATTTTTTTAAATCGTATATTATTGGTCCAGGTTGACACCTTTAACATATATAACAGCATGAAGGTACATGGCTGAAGGGAAAGTGGAGAAATAAAAAAAAAGGCGATTTACTCAGAAGTACCCAAAGTGGATTTAGCTCCTTTTGGAATGAAACTCTTCATATACACAATATGTGTTAAGTATTCTATATATTTTAATGTGTTATCATTGCAATGTTATGCCATGTACTTTTTACTCTGTAAATTGAACAATTTCAGCTTTTAGCTGCATGTCCGATGATTTTTATCTTAATAAACTAATACAATACAATACAATACAAATGCAATTTAAAAGAATTTTCTTTTTCTCTTGTTTTTTGTTTACATTAAAAATAAAAATAAATGTGTTAATACTGTCTTTTTTGTTAAACACTGACTCAACAAAACTTTAAATATTGAAATTCGCTGACATCATATCCGAAGCTAGAAAATGCAAATAATTGGAATGCTAAATTTAGATATTTCAAATGGTTTTCATACATAACACTAATTAGAGAGACAATTAAAGGCACTTATCTCACCTGATAAGGGGCACTCACCAGAGATGGAGAAAGGCAGTGATGAGAATGGAAAAATGGCACTTGTATCAAAGGAAAGGTGCAATTATCAGCAGGAAAATGGCGCTAATTAGAAAGGATAAGGGGCACATGTTAAAATTAAAGGGGCACTTATCAGGGATGAAAAGGGGCACTTATTACAGAGGTAAAGGGGGTATGTCTCAAATTTGAATAAGGGCACTCATCGGAGATGAAGAGGAGCACTCATAAGAATGAAAAGAGGGCAAACAAGGGAAAAGAGGCACTTGTCAAAATATAAGGGACACCTCTCAGATTAAAAAAGAGGCAATTATAAGAAGTGAAGGGGCAATTGTCATGGATGGTAAGGGGCACTCACCTGATATTGGACTCATCATTGAGAAAGACAAACTCTGTGAAAACCTTTAAATACATGTTCAAACAATCTTGCAATATCAATTCCGAATAAGATGAAAGGACAAAAGTAATTTTGTTTACTGTCTTAACTAAAGTTTTACTTTAATTCCTTTTAGCTTTCCAGCACATTTCTGTTGTAAAAATCAAACGATTGGTTAATGATGCGCTTGCAGAACAACATGATAAAATGTGGTATTCAGATACATCCTCATTTCTAGGACAATTTCACTTGATGCTTTTATTTTTTTTGACTTTGTCAAGGATATGACATTCGTAATTGTCCTGCTTGCACCAATGTTTGATTGTCTGTTACTTAGCCATGAACGTAGGACGACATAATGCTTTTCAAACTGAAAGAATAATTTTCATATCATTGACTATCAGTTATAAATATATCGTATTTTTACTGTTATTTAAGAGTGTACATTCAATTGCTTTACTAGATTACATGCATTAACTTTGCATATTATCCAGTAATTTACTCTCCTATAATATTTTTTGTTGTAAATATGAATAAAACAATTTTGAAATCCCTAATTTCTTTCTTAACCGAGCCTAAGTAGTTTCTATACTTTGTTTATGAACTCTCAAAAGTATATGTTACCTATTTTCAAAGTCAAATACATACCCAAATAGGTTAATGCTGACTTGTCATCGGATTTAAAAACTCCTTACCGTCTATACTATAATGTTATATTAAGGTATTATAAATATGCAACAATGTTTTCTTGAACAAAGAAGCAAAGCAGAAAAAAAACCGACAAAACCTTCCATTCATTACGAGGATACCAATACATGTTCTTCTTATTCTGTGTTGCTGTTATGAGTTTATGTTCATGATTTTGTTATATATTATTATTATTTTTTTTTTTTTTAAACTTGTGTTTCTTATTATGTTTAACAGGGCCGGCCTCATGGAAGACCACCATTATTGGTTATAATGAGTCACCCTGTCTAAATATCAGAAATAAATGAACAAGTAAATATGAATAGGGGCACAAGTGAGAATGGAAAGGGGCACTTATTAAAAACGAAAATGGGCGCTTGTCGAGGGAAAAGGGGCACCTATGATATTTTAATAGAGGTATCTATCAGCGGTGTCAGGAGTGGCATTGATGAGAAGACGAATTGGCTTTTTCTGAAAAAAGAAAAAGGGCATTTATGAGAAGGAAATACGGCAATTATCAGAAGTGAGATGTGGCTCTCAACAAAAAAGAAAAGGGCACTTTTTAAGAAAAAAATGGGCACCTGTCAGATGTGAATAGGGGCAATTATCATCGGTGAAGGGGCACTTATCAGAGGTGGTAAGAGGTACCTATATGAATGTAGAATGAGCACATATTAGTTATAAAAAGGGCACTTATCTGAAGTAAAAGAGGACACATTTCCTTTGTAAAAAAAGGGCACTTTAGGGGTACCTGAAAAAATGTAGGGGGAGGGGGCACTGTGCCTCCCCCAGGCTCGACCGCCTCTGCTGCCAACACTAAATACTCGTAGTGATATGCACCATTGCAAAACTAATCGTTTGTGTACATGGTGGATGTTTAGAGTATGTAGCCCTTCTGGTCTTGTTATTTTGTTTCCTAAAATGTAACAACAATATTTGGATTCGAAAATTTCTGTCATTCATTTTATGTCATTGTAGTTGTTTGTTAACCTAAATATGGGCGATAACTTTCGCTTACTCAGATGTATCGTATGTCCATATCAATATGCCATTTAACGTTATTCGTTGTTTTCTTTTTCATGTTTTTTTTCTTCATTCGCATGATTCTCGATGCAGATCTGTTATGGTGGCGAATCAGTACTTTATCGCGTCATATTTTATACAGAATACTTGTTATGTATACTAGCAGAAATTACCCGTGGCAGAAATGTGAAGCATATTACACTTTACATCAATATAACAAAAACGGCTCTGGTTTTGCCGCATCGTATCTGAACGAGCCTTAAATGGATTGGGTATCTTTGCCTCAGATTCTAAACAAAATCCTGGATTTAGATCATGCTGCAATCATAATTATAAACCTTTAGGTCAGTCAGGAATCCCATGACTTTTACAAGCCGATCGCCTGTCTGATTATCAAGATATTTATGATTGGTTTTCCCAACGGTTTTTATAACACTACAATCCATTGGGGGAAATGAGTATGGTAAAACCGGTCATCCATAGATCTTTACATTTTTGAGGCACTTCATGATCATTTTGAAGCGCAATATCTTTAGGGCTCCAATATTACACCATGTCACAGACAATGGTAACACGTAGGGCCATGTATCTCATGGGTAAAATGTTATCCAACTGTTTTTAGACTGTGGATGATCATGGTATGTTTATACAGTCAAACTTGTGTTTTCATTGTCTTCACTCTTATGTTTCTCGGTGCAGATTTGTTATGGTCGTATGTAAATAATTGATTTATTGTGTAGGAGCCTAATGTTTGATACAGAATAAACAGTGTCAATAGATATGATTCTCACTCACAAAACCATATTATAGACACTTTTAAACATTGGTAAGTTGGTGGTTGTTTGTTAAAAGGGCTGCATGTAATGAAGATACATACTTTTTTAACTTTTGCTTTAATACTCAGATGATGTATAAGAAAAATAATTGTGTTTAGTATAACAGCTAATTTACAGCTAATTTAGCATTTCGTTGTAATCTATTGAATGCTCTGTTCGCTTAAAAGTCGATTCATATTTTCTTGTGGTGGTGGTATTTAGATAATTGTTTTTACATGTTTTTGTTACTTGATATCATTCAGTTTACCCAGAGTACATTTTAATCATAGATTGATGCATTGTTGATGCCGCCTTTTGTGGTTTGTCAATAGGCATACATGTATATATATATATATATGATGAGGAACCGTATATTTTCCCTCATATCCGTTTAAATGCTTAATATCATATTATTCCTTATAATTATGCTAAAGAGCAAATTAGAGAAACTTAGAGAAAATGTCATCAAAATCCGAACAAGAGCAATGTTATTTTTTCGAGAAAAGGCGGCTGTGTCATTTTGACGTTACGAAATAGAAAGGTCTGTGCACTCATTTATTTTACATGTTGTGGAATTCGGATGTGAATAAAACTACTAAAATTAGACTTTTCTCATAAGTTGTTACTCTTTTTTTTGTTGTTGCATGAATACGTATCCTATGATAGAGACCCCCCACAATAGTATTTGACGGTGTTTATTTTCATTAGAATCATTTCAGTTGTGCGTATGTACAGACGAGGACACTGCACAGACTTCGGCACTGTAAAGTCCAGACCGATCATTCAATGCACATTGGATGTATGCGAAGTGTAAAATACTATTAAGGTATAAATGAGAATTTCTTTCAGAAACCT